GAAAAATAGAACAAGTAACTAAGGAATAAAAATATACAAATCGACAATTGTATGTACAGGTATATAACAATAGACAGTTGTATGTACAGGTATATTATGTGCAAATTGAAATGTAGACTGAGTGTGTGTGTTAGATAAATAAGTGTATGAGTGAATAAATAGTGTGTGTTCCACAGTTATTGTCAAGTGTTCATGATCATGATCATATATTGATTTTATCTCCTAAAATTCATTGAGAAGAGTTTAAGAACAGACATAAAGGAGTCAGGAGTCTCACAGTAGAGTAGTAAAGTTCATTCTTCTGTTCCAGGTCCAGAAGTTCAGAAGGATCTTAGTGAGGTCTGCAGAAGAACGACGAGCTTCATTAACTTTAGAGTCTGAATCTAAGAGCTGCTGTTAATTAGCATGCGGCATTAACCAGACAAACAACAGAGAGAGAGAGAGAGAGAGAGAGATAGAGAGAGTAATGTCTTCAAAGAGCTTCACATTTACTAGACTCAGTCGACAAATGTCAACATTCAAAAGAACACAAACAAACTGACCATCTATCTATCTATCTATCTATCTATACTGAACAAAATTATAAATGCAACACTTTTGTTTTTGCCCCCATTTTTCATGAGCTGAACTCAAAGATCTAAGACTTTTTCTATGTACACAAAAGTCCTATTTCTCTCAAATATTGTTCACAAATCTGTCTAAATCTGTGTTAGTGAGCACTTCTCCTTTGCCGAGATAATCCATCCACCTCACAGGTGTGGCATATCAAGATGCTGATTAGACAGCATGATTATTGCACAGGTGTGCCTTAGGCTGGCCACAATAAAAGGCCACTCTAAAATGTGCAGTTTTACTGTATTGGGGGGTTCGGGGGGGATCCGAAAACCAGTCAGTATCTGGTGTGACCACCATTTGCCTCACGCAGTGCAACACATCTCCTTCACATAGAGTTGATCAGGTTGTTGATTGTGGCCTGTGGAAGGTTGGTCCACTCCTCTTCAATGGCTGTGTGAAGTTACTGGATGTTGGCAGGATCTGGAACACGCTGTCGTATACACCGATCCAGAGCATCCCAAACATGCTCAATGGGTGACATGTCCAGTGAGTATGCTGGCCATGCAAGAACTGGGATATTTTCAGCTTCCAGGAATTGTGTACAGATCCTTGCAACATGGGGCCATGCATTATCATGCTGCAACATGAGGTGATGGTCATGGATGAATGGCACAACAATGGGCCTCAGGATCTCGTCACGGTAACTCTGTGCATTCAAATTGCCATCAATAAAATGAACCTGTGTTCGTTGTCCATAACACACGCCTGCCCATACCATAACCCCACCGCCACCATGGGCCACTCGATCCACAACATTGACATCAGCAAACCGCTCACCCACACGACGCCATACAAGCTGTCTGCCATCTGCCCTGTAATGTGAAAACTGGGATTCATCCGTGAAGAGAACACCTCTCCAAAGTGCCAGATGCCATCGAATGTGAGCATTTGCCCACTCGAGTCGGTTACAACAACGAACTGCAGTAAGGTCGAGACACCGATGAGGACGACGAGCATGCAGATGAGCTTCCCTGAGACGGTTTCTGTCAGTTTGTGCAGAAATTCTTCGGTTACGCAAAGCGATTGTTGCAGCAGCTGTCCGGGTGGCTGGTCTCAGATGATCTTGGAGGTGAAGATGCTGGATGTGGAGGTCCTGGGCTGGTGTGGTTACACGTGGTCTGCGGTTGTGAGGCCGGTTGGATGTACTGCCAAATTCTCTGAAACACCTTTGGAGACGGCTTATGGTAGAGAAATGAACATTCAATTCACGGCCAACAGCTCTGGTGGACATTCCTGCAGTCAGCATGCCAATTGCACGCTCCCTCAAAACTTGCGACATCTGTGGCATTGTACCTGTGTGATAAAACATTTTAGAGTGGCCTTTTATTGTGGCCAGCCTAAGGCTCACCTGTGCAATAATCATGCTGTCTAATCAGCATCTTGATATGCCACACCTGTGAGGTGGATGGATTATCTTGGCAAAGGAGAAGTGCTCACTAACACAGATTTAGACAGATTTGTGAACAATATTTGAGAGAAATAGGCCTTTTGTGTACATAGAAAAAGTCTTAGATCTTTGAGTTCAGCTCATGAAAAATGGGGGCAAAAACAAAAGTGTTGCGTTTATAATTTTGTTCAGTGTATCTATCTATCTATCTATCTATCATCTGAACAACTATATCTTGGTTATCTACCTGCTTCTGAAAATGATTTGTGAAACAAAACATCAAAATATTAAATGGTGCTTTTCAGTTGTTGTACAGAACAGGACTCGCTGTAGAGTAACAAACACTCTTCAGAGGGAAACCCATGACTCAGATTTAATCACTGCGTGAAGAACAGCCCCAGAGATGTGCTTCTGCTATCAGAGCATCGTACTAATCTACATCCTCCAGGCATCCGCAGTAACCCACCATGAAATGAGCAGCTAAATAATCCTCATTACCAGAATGAGACACCCAAATTAAATTGACCCTTTCTGCTCATATTAAGTGAATTCACTCCTAAATCTTTAAATATGCCCACAGGTGAAACTCCAGTTACTAGAGAATGAAGCTCATCTCATCTCTGAACACAGGAGCCGTTCGCAGCACAAGAGCGCCACCTGCAGGCTGATGCTTTAAGCGAAGTAACATTTTTTCCTATTTATTCACTGGCACCTCTCCTGTCCATGTTGAGAGAAACTTTTGGTGTGAAAGAGCTTTTACAGTTGCCAAAATATTTTTTTTTTGTGGTTAAAAATAAATAAGCCCAGCTCAGGTGACAAAGTAACACAAAAGTAATGTAATGCATTACTTTCCATAAAAAGTAACGCAATTAGTTATTTTATGGAGCAATGCAATATTGTAATGCATTTTTACTTCTTAAAGTAGCTTTCCCCGACACTGCATATACTGATATGCATACTTCACATTAAATTAGACGCTGCATATGCAGAACTGCATAGCGTTGTTCAAATAGACTTAAATTAAATAATTTTGAAGCATTTTCAAGGTTTCTAGCACTGGCATGAACCTTGTACACGACCCATGCTTACATTACAGTACAAAACTATTCTAGGTTGGTAATGAAATTGTGTAGGTGTTCAGCGACAGTTGTTTTGATAGGATTTAAAGGGATAGTTCACCCAAAAATTTAAATGTGATGTTTATCTGCTTACCCCCAGGGCATCCTAGATGTAGGTGGCTTTGTTTCTTCAGTAGAACACATATGATTTTTAACTTTAACCCTTGCAGTCTGTCAGTCGTATAATGCATGGCAATGGTAACAAAATCTACGAGAGTAAAAAAAACATGCACAGACAAATCCAAATTAAACCCTGCGGCTCGTGACGACACATTGATGTCCTAAGACACGAAACGATCGGTTTGTGCCAGAAACCCAACAGTATTTATATCATATTTTACCTCTAATACACCACTATGTCCAACTGTCTTTGAGCGCGCGCACAGCATCCGGTGCATGAGGTGTGTACGCGCTCTGTTAGCTGCCTTTTTTTATTCTTTGCGTTTCCTTTTCCCTTTTAATTTAATTTTACATTAAGCACTTTGGATAGCTTTGCTATGTTGAAATGTGTATTATAAATAAAATTTAATTACTTAGAGAAAAGAATTGATGTCATTTGAAAGATGTAATCATTGAATGCACTGTGCGCCAAAGCAACGATAAATGATCCACAGATGCTGTTGTGCATTGATTAGTGTTGACCAAAGTATTGAGAAATAGGTCTTAAAGTCACTAATATAGTGGGTTAATCACAAAAGTAGACTTCCTGTTTGAAAAACACTTTTGCACCACAATTGATGCAAGAAAACAAGCTCATTACTGACATTTTAAAAGTTCACTTATCTTTAAAACAGTAATTAAATGTTGTTATAAATAAACTTGCTATGCTTTAAACATGGCACATTAAAGACAATACTTTGGGGAAAATCAAATAAGAAACTCAAATGCAACGGTGTGCAGCATCAAAGAAACAAAATCCACCAATACTAGAGCAGTATGCAGAACATGGGCAGTACGAGGAACACATGACCAGTATTATATGCTCGATCATCTAATTCTGCATGCATGCATAGCGTAGATTTAAATATATTAAAGTTTCACATTCATAAATTAAATGCACTAATAATTTATGACAGTCTATGGGGAAATTTTTTTTAAATAGGTTTACACATTTTATTAACTTTAACATTACGATAAAAAAAAGTTTATTTGTTATTTAATTGTATTAATGTTTAATTTTATTAACATTTCACATTCATAAATTAAGTGCACTAATAATTTACGACTTTCTATGAATGCATCAAATCTACACATTCATTTTCACATTTACAGAATACAATAAATTATTTGTTATAACTTAATTGTATTAATATTTAATTATTTTTATGAATGTGAAAATCTACACTACATAGAGCTCTTCATATTAAGTTTCACATTCATAGAATCTTAACACAATTAAAAATAGATCATTTTTATATTTTATAATAACCCCCAAATGTATAACACTTAAACATTTTATGAAACGTAAAATCTTTGATGCACACAAACCTATACATTTTATATTAAGTTTCACATTCTTAAAAAAAAAATCATAACTTACTACAATTAAATTTTTATAGATTGATAGAATTAACTTTTTTGCATTTAATTATTTTATGAATGAAACATAAAACACTTTATACAAGTTTAATTAATAAATGCAATTAAAAATTAAAATGTAAATTTGTATTCACTTAATTTTTTTTTTTTTTTAAATTGTATTATTTTTTAAGAATTTAATGTATGTGAAGCTTTAAGAAACCCTGCACATTTTACATATTAGTCAAGTTTAACGTTCATAAATTGTGAAATTAAATAAAATAAAAAAGGCACAGTTTTACACCGCTTTATGAAAATAAAAGCTTGTTTGGAGAGAAATAAACTAAAGCTACTTTAGCCCTTCAGCTCCAGAAGACAGACCTGATGATGCTCACGAACTGACTCATGGTGAGCTCCTGAGGCACGAGGAACTTGGTCTTATCCAGCGGCGGCAGGTGCTTCTCTCTCTGATATCTCTCGATTATCACCTGCAACACACACTCATTAACGCACACCGCCGGTAAGAGACGAGCTGAACTCAGAACCGGCGCTTCTTACCGGGATCTTAGTCGGAAACTTCGTTCGGATTCCCACCACCTCTTGTTTCCTCGTTGCTGATACGTAATCAATATCACAAAATAAATAAAGAAATAAAGTAAAAAGCACAGACAACTTTTGCATCCGCAGAGAGAGCCTCGTGCGTGATTTAAAGACACATACCTAAACTCTTCCTCTGTTTGAAAGGTTTGGGACGCTGGGTTTTCTCCAGTGGAGGCATGCTGTGTCGCACCTCTGACCCGCGCGCGCTAATTACTCGTGAAGCGCACTGACACTAATTAAATACTCTGCGGTGACGTCACGCGGGGACATCAAGCACGCCGCCCACCGTCAGCATTTGATAACGATGATGAAATCAGCCGTTTAAAATCAAAGAAACAATACAAAGAGTTGACGTTTCAGGTTGTAACGCTATTTTAGTGTGTTTGGTCGGCGCGTGCTAACGGCTATGTAGCCTATAAGTAGCATGCGGATGCACATTCCTACAATGTCGCAGGTAAATGAGGCTCTGAATGGATCTTTGTGTTGTCCACCTTCTCAGAAATGGACGCATGCGTGTGTAAAACAGGGGTTTGTATTGTAGTGTTGTGTAACAGTTCGTGCATGACATGACCACTTAAACAAATGAATCCATTGCGAAATTATGACACAAGCATTCGCTTGACTCTTCATTATCTTAATGCATGTATTTAATTTGGCCTGCGTTCTTTCATTAATTACTCTACTGTTATTTATTTGCATATGACTTATTTTATTGGTTATGGAATCTACAAATTATTCAAAATAAATTTTATTTTATGTAGTTTAAATGTATTTATTTAGCCTATTAAAATCGGTATTTTAGTCTTTATTTCTGTTGTGTCTTCATTTAGCTGATGTGGTGTGTTTGCAAGATTAGGTCAAACAATAAACAATAACTCGGAATGAGAACGATTGGAAGGAAAATAGATAAAACGCATCCGAACTGCAAGTCCCAGCATGCTCAGCGCACTCGCCTCTGATTGGCTGTTCACGCTGCGCGTTGTTCGTACTGTCCAATCACGGGGCGTTTCGTGCTGGCAGCGTCTGTTGATCTGCTTGTGGGCGTGAAGTGAGCGGAAACCAGCCTTAAGAAGCGCGATTCATTTAATAGAATCGGTTCGTTCGAACGAGTCGGCTTCATTGACACATGCGTGCAGTTAACATGCACTTTTTGTTGTTTGATAAAAAATTTTTATCACAAATTACATACGTTACATGTTTTTAAGGTACTTAGTGGAAGTCATTTTATCCCCAATTATGTTTTTGATAGATACATTTCTTACCTTCTCCAAAATATTGTAAAAAATTTTGTTTTTTTTTTTCAACATAAAAAATTATTTTATAGTAAAAAAATAAACCATTACAATTAAAAATCATTAAAATATATTTTTGCTACTTCAAATGAAGTAAACGTTAACTGAAAAAAAAAAAATATATATATATATAGCTATATATATAAAAATATATACGTACTTATTTTATTTCAGTTAGTTGCCAAAACATCGTTTTTCATTTAGTTTAACTTGATGTACTAAAATAACAAAATGTAAACAAAATGTATAAAAACTATAAAGACATTTTTAAAAAGATACACAGACAACAAAAATTATTAAAACGTTAACTAAAATTTAAATGAAAAGGAAAATAAAACAATAAAAAAAATTAATAAAAATTAATAATGATATAAAAATAAAATATAAGTATAAAAAATAATAGCACCTCAATAATACTGAAATTAGCACTGCTACAAAATGGTGAAAAACGTCTCAGAATATGCTAACATACACATACATTATTTAATTGTGCTAAATACAAAATATATCATTAAAAATAATATTGTATTGATGTATATGTCACTAAAATATGCGATATTTTTTATACATCTTATACATCTATTAATATTCGAACCGTTCAAATCCATCATTTGTCAGCTGTTTGTTTCATTCCACTCCGCTGATCGGTTCTGCCGATTCAGTTCAGAGAATCGGTTCGCAAGAACGAGTCATTCGCGAATCGAACAGCGCTAGCGGAAACGTCGTGAAGTGACAGCAGCAGCAGCAGCTCGCGGTGAGAGGAGCGCTGCAGCCCCGTTTCCCGTTCGAGCACCGAGGCGGATATCGCAGCGAGCGATCGGACGAGATCCAGTGTCCGTGTGGTCGATCAGACCTCCGATTACCGGCCTAGCCATGGACGAGCATGCGGGCCCCGGTGTGTTCTTCAACAACAACAACAACTCGGTTCTTCCCGGCGGAGCGAAAGCGCCTCAACCGGGCGACGGCGACGGCGGCGGAGAGACGGCCCGCGCTCAGTACTGTATCCCGGGGATTCTACACTTTCTGCAGCACGAGTGGGCCCGGTTCGAGGTGGAACGGACGCAGTGGGAGGTGGAGCGGGCCGAACTGCAGGTAACGCGCCTTTTCCGACCGTTATTTTCTGAGGTGTTTTTAAACGCTGTCCGCCAAAAGTCACAATCAGACATTTGTGGGCTTGTTGTTCTCTCGCGCGCTGACACACACACACACACACACACACACACACACACACACACACACACACACACACTCACAGACACTCACTCACTCACTCACAGACACACAGACTCACAGACACACACTCACAGACACGCTCTCTATCTCTCACACTCTCACTCACTCACACACACACACACACTCACTCACAGACACACACACACACACACACACACACA